CCCCAAAACCCCAAAACCCCAAAACCCCGGGTTGGGGAGGGTTTGTTGAATTATTGTTATTGGTTGGTTATTAGGGTTTGTTTGGTTATCATTGACACTCATAAAAATACCTTTATCTTATATTGTTTGCAAAGTTTGATAAGAGCAAGCTTTACCAACTTTATTGTTTTACAATCTTGTCTAATCTTCTTAGAGGAAGGTTTGAAGAGCAGGCTGCTATATTCAATCGTCCAACTTATCCAATGAGAGACTGCCTGGCATCTCTTCATCATCATCTCTCCATTAAAATTCATATTTCTTAAGGTATAAATTTATCTTTGTGACTCTAAAGCCTCCTAAAAGAGACTCTTTTCATATCTTCTGTCTCTTCTTGTTGTCCCTTGCATAATCTCTCTAATAAGCTAGCAAAAATCCCCAATACATCTGCTGAGTCTAAAACCCTCTCTAACCAAAGCCCTTAATGTCTATCTCTGGATAGATAACACACTTTGACGAGACACACTCGGTCATCTTACTTAATTAAATATTCTCATTCAAGAAATATCATCTGTAAGCTCGAATATAGCTCAGGCCCATTAAGAGACTATGGTCTAGGTTTATAAGAACAAAAAATGTTCTATCTATCTCCACCAAAATATAAAACTCGAAGATTTTCTTAGCGCCTCCTTTAAACTTCTATTATTTGTGAGCTTCACAAAGATTCTTCTCCCAAATGTTCGTGAAACTACTGACTTCAAATACATGCTAGCACAAGTACAAAGGCATGGAACTCTCGTTGAGTTATAATCTGAAATTCTTTATGAATTATTCATAAAGGAATTTACTCTTATTGCAAATTTTTAACCAAGAAATCTTATTTAGGAGCATTACTAGGAATAACCATAAAGGAGAGGCCCTAGTTTATTGAAGAATTCATCTTTAGGAATTGGACTCTGGTATGAAGAGTGGAACCAATAGGTTTGTTATAGGAAGATTAACAAGAGTAAACTAGATTTTGATCAATTTTAATAATGCAATTTTAATATTCACTCAGATTTGTCTGAATAAAATACCAAGTGTAATGCAAGTTAAAAAAGGCTTACGATAAACCTCTAAATTGGCACTATTATACTTCAGCACTACAAAATAGGGGTACATTTGTAGGAATAGAACATTGTTCCTCTTGAGTACATATTTTTTGTTTTCTTGACCTATCGTGGTAGGAACTTAGTATTCGTTGAATTAATTTCAGCAATAAATAAGGGGTTTAGAAATATTTTGAGAATACTGATAATTATGTAGCACAAAGCCAAGATGCCCAGTCTTATTGAGGATTCAATACCCTCCTCCTTTGTAGTTTGCCATAAATTGTGTAAATTTAATAAAATTGGGAAAATGTTGCCCAAAATTTAACCTTATATTAAATTTTAGCTACCCGAATTTCTATAATCTATCGAACACGAAAAATAGGGTTTTAGAAGCTTCATTTTTCACTGCGCACATTAGATCAACATTGGGAAAGCATGGGTTGACTATTTTTAAGAACTTCAAAAATAAACACCTTTATTGACTTTAAGAAATGTTTTAGAATTTCAATATCTTGGTTTACAATAATTACTGTTTAAGCTACAATTAGTGCTAGATTATTGAGTCTCAAATGGGTAAATTCTATTCTTCTTTACGGTTTTCATCAGATTCTGACTTCAAATCTCCTTCAATAACTTTATGATTAGCGAAGGCACTTTTCTGACCCCTTGGAGGTTTATACAGGAGATTACTGGTGTTATCTTTTAGTAGTATTTTATTGTGATATTTGGAATCTTCTTGAGTTTTACTCAAAAATTCTTCAGAAATAAAGAGTTCCTTATTTTCGAAGAAAGACTTGTACTTATTCTTTTGGTACATTTTCCTTGTCTTAGTTCCCTTAGGCCTATCTCTTAGGTTATCAGAAGGTCTAATATTCTTTCAACTATTAAACCCGATCTTCTTAAACTTAGAGGGATGAAAGGACGTCATCTTCATATTAACTTCCAGCCTTCTAAAAATCTTGACGGGACAGATTATGGCATCTTCGCTGAGTATTTCTTCAGATAAGTTCTCTTCAAGTTCCTGTTTCAGCAGATTTTGGGTATCCATATTATATATTTTTATTATTCAAAATACTCTTAGTTCACCGGGGTTTTGGGGTTTTGGGGTTTTGGGG